AATAAAATACCTTTTTAAACCTTGACGCAGTAGAATATTTTATTTACTGTAAAAGTGATAATACCTGAAACTGTAATTTTTTTTACAAAAAAAAATAATATAATGTTTAACTAAACAGCGTTTAACTAAAACATGTTTAACAAAACTCTGTTTAAATTAATAAAAAATTGTTTAGTTAGTGTAATAATGTTTGTTAATTAAAATAATAAATTCTATACATTATATTATAATGAAATTTATTACTTTACACACTTTTAACTGTTTGTTTGTAATGGATAAACTCAAAAAAATACTTAACCGATGTTAAAAATTCCATCGCCGATATAAAGCTACATTCTCTGCGAGCAACATAGGCTGTATATTATTTTAGAAAATTACATCTACTCGTGCGAAGCCGGGCCGGATCCCTAGTTTTTACTAACACTGAATTTCTTTTGTTTACACATAAACAGATGTTAGATACGATTTTGTCTAAACATGTATTGAACACCCGTTTATCGCGTGTTTAATTTATTTGTAGTAAAACAATTAGGTTCAATTACATAGCTGAATTGTTCCCTTTGATAGCGTTTTTAAATTTTGTTTAAATTTTCCATTAATTGATACATTTTTTTCAAAAAGCCCCTTCAATTGATATAAGTAACTATGGTCACGGTTGAATTAGCTAACTGTCATTAAACTGGCGTGTTGAACTAGGGTTTTACGATCACTATTAATCGATCGTAAAAAGGACATTACGGATCGACCATAAAGGGACAGGACGACCGCGCTGACCCCGTTGGCTATTTTTAAACGCATAAATAGGAATTAAGAGTTATCCATTGTTATTTTGAGATAAAGCCCTTAATCTATAAAGTAACCTACAACCTGCTGTCACTTATGGGCCGGAGCACCTAGATACCAGCTTGAACCTTTAGACTCGTTGCAACGACGAGCTATGAGAATTGTCGATGATCCCAGGCTCAAGTGGTATCGAACCCTTGAGTCTTAGGAGAGATTTTGCCTCACTCTGCGTGTTCTATCGCCTGTACAATGGATTCTGCTCAGAGGAATTGTTCAATATGATGCCCACAGCCACTTTCTACCATCGTACGGCTCGCCATCGACAGGGGGTTCATCCTCATGTCCTACAACCTCAATGGTCGCGTACTGCGCGGTTTCAGAGATGTTTCCTCCCACGAACACTCAGATTGTGGAATGAGCTCCCTGCGGAGGTTTTCCCAAGAGACTACAGCATGGGGTTCTTCAAAAGGGGGGTAAAGAGGTTTCTTCAGGGTTGGCAACGCACGCGTAATACCTCTGGTATTGCAAATGTTCATAGGCTACGGCTCAAGTGGGCCGTATGCTTGTTTGCCACCTCAGTGGTATAAAAAAAAACTTACAACAAACCTCTTTTAACTATGAGACTGTTTTTTCACTTTCCTTCAAATTTGGAAGATAACGCAAAGTAAAAGGACCGTGTGGTCCCGGCATAGAATAGGCCATCCCTTCCTTTCCCGTGGGAGTCGTAAGAGGCGACTAAGGGAGGGCGTGGGTTGGGCAGCAGCGTCCCTCTTAAAGCATCTCTAAAGCCTAACTGCGGTTGCCAATACGCCAGTCAAGCGTGGCAACTACTGGCAAAACCCCCCAAGGGGATGCTTATGTTCAGCAGTGGATAGTTAAACGCTAATATGGTGATGATGAAAAGGACCAAAGAAAAGCTGAAATAGCTTTATGAGGCATTTGACGTTTTTATGAATAAGAAGCAAGTTTGGGAAATTAGTCTTTTTTTTTTACAACACAGGGGGCAAACGAGCATGCGGCTCACCTGATGGTGATACCGCCGCCCATGATGACAACTGTTTTGCCGGCCTTTTAAAAAGGAATGCTCTTTTCTTGAAGGTTATGTTGTCGTATCGGTTCGGAAATTTGCTGGAAGTTGATTCCAAAGAGTGGTCTTTTGATTACAGTCAACTGTTATATACTTTCAAATAAAAAAAAAGAATTCCGAAAATCGGTTTACACCTGACGGAGTTATGGGGTCACAAACATAAAAAAATACAACCGAACCGAGAACCTCCCTCTTTTTAAAGTCGGTTTTTTTTAATGGATGATAACGGAATGGTAACCCCACCCGCGCTATCGGAATACACCGGCGGGGCACCAGTGAAGGAAGATAGGTGACGATGAAGTATGTCAGTTAGCCCATCGTGACGAATTCAACAAGAATTGTTCACGATGGTTTCCAGGGGGAACCACGTGGAGGGCGACCTAATAAGGCATATTGCTAGCAATGGGGCTGTCAAACTCCATTGCTAACAATCCCTTTCCCCCCTTTTAAAGTCGATTGAAAATAATTTTAGCCCTAATAAGATCTATTTTAAGAATCAGTAACGACGGAATAAGATATTAAGAAATAACGAAAAAAAAACCTGCAATTTCCGCCAGATGTCACCAATTGTTTACATACGCACCGCTATGGCGCCCACACGCGGCCGGTATTAGTTTGATCTTTATTAACTAGAGCTGCGCACGCGCATGTGAAACTGTTTTCATTACGTCATGAACTAGGGGAGTATACGTAACATTCTTTTTAAGTAAAATAGTGGATTTACATTGTGTTTATTTAATGAATTTTAAGTTTTAAAATACAAACGAATAGTAACAGAAATAAGTAGGTATATTTTGCTCCTTAAAAAAACAGCGACTTAAACCGTTTCTTTTATTGCGCTATCGATGTACGCTGTCGGGACACCAGTGAGTGATGATAGGTGAGGATGAAAAGACAGTTAGTCAATCGTGATGAATACACCTGGAATTCAGCAGGATGATTTCTAGGATAATTTCTTTAATATAAGCATATGCCATTGTATTTCACTGTAATGAATTGTGAAGAGAAAATAAATCTATTTATTATTATTATTAAAAGGGTTGTAAAACTAAGAAAGAAAAAATGAAATATTTTTGTTCAAATTAACCTAAATTTTAATTTAGGAAGGACCACGTGGAGGTCAACCTGTCAGGGTATATTGCTAGCAATAAGACTGGTAGTTTTTTTTATGGGTGATAATGAAATAGTAATCCCACCCGCGCTATCGGTATACGAGGTTTGTCCGGAAAGTACGTATAAAAGTTTTTTAAAAATTTTATTTTACAATTATTCAGGTAAATCAATTTTATCCCCTTCAAAGTACTCCCCCTGTGACATAATGCACTTGTGCCAACGCCGTTTCCACTGTGAGAAGGCTCCTTGAAAGTCCTCTGGTTGTAGGTTTCTCAGCTGCCCAGTATAGACTTTTTTTATCATTTATGTTACAAATGTGCCCCCGAAGTACCAATTTGGTTTTTGGGAACAAGAAGAAGTCACACTGGCCAAATCCGGCAAGGGGGTGTTCGGTCACCGTAATGGAATTTTTTCAAAAACTCACGGAACGATCTTGGCGCAAATTTTTTTCATTTGAAGTTCGTTTCTTAGAATTTCGTGGACCACGGTTTTGTTAATAAATATATAGCCACCTGTCTGACCGTTAAACGACGGTCCCCATTAACTCAAGTTCGAAGTTCATTATATACGTTTTCGTCGGAATGTGAAGTGGAAGGACGTCCTGAACGTGGGTCATCTTGAACGTAATTCAAATATTCAAAACGTTCTGAATGTTTGGACTTGTGGACGGTTGGTCGTCAAATCATCCCCATTAATGTTTGAGATTTCAAAAATTTCACATTTATTTTGCCGAGTTTCGAAAAAAATTGAAAATACGACGCGCTGCTCTTCCTTCAGTCTATGTCGACATTGGTTCTTTTGAGGCATCCTTTTAGATGGCGTGACAAACGATGTTGACCGCACGGCGGTCAGACCAGAACTGAAGCATTGTTAGGGACATAAAAGTCGTTTGCGCTTTGGGCTCCACAGTCCCATTCGTGTTCTCGCATTCCAGAACAGTTTATACGCACTTTCCGACAGAATGGTCGTATATCGGCGGGGCAATTGAAGGAGGATAGGTGAGGATGAAACAGGTCAGTTAGCCCATCGAGACGAATTCAACAAGAATTGTTCACGATGGTTTCGAGGGGGAACCACGTGGAGGTTGACCTGATAGGGCATATTGCTAGCAAAGGGGCTGTCAAACTCCATTGCTAACAATCCCTTCCCCCCAAGACTGGTAGTTCGCATTACTAACAATCCCTTCCCTCCCAGTATAGACGTTTATCGTTACAACGTGAGGCGAAAACTCATTTATTTGTCACTGGTCAATTAGTTAAAAATGTTTAAAGTTAACCCTATTTTGGGAGTAAGTGTTTCGAGCCACGGTTGTGTGGATGCGAGACAACGTTCAGTTAATAAATATATAGAAATAAATTAAGTTAAACAGTGTTATATGTACTGCTCAATTTGAAGTTCATTATACACGTAAGAATTATTCTTGGGATGTTATTTTAGTTATGTTATGATTCTACGTAATTCAAATATTCAAAACGTTATAGGATGTTTGGAGTTTGTACGGTGGTCGTAAATCATTTAATGTTTGTATTTCAAGGAATGTACATTTATTTTATAAGAATCGAAAAAAAAAATTGAAAATAAGCAGCCATAGCTTATCCTTCAGTCTATGTCGATTACATTGGTTCTTTTGCGGGCATCCTTTTATTTAGTGTAAAACGATGTTGACTTAGCAGAGGGAGACTTTGTACAAAAGTCGTTTACTTGGGCACCACAGTCCCATTCGTGTTTCAACCGTGAAGCAGTTGTATTTGCATGGCTGTGTGTATGTGTTAGCATTTCGGTTTGAATGCTGGGATATGGCAGTGAATTTAAAGGGTATAGAGGAATAACACCTGAGTCCTCAGGAATGACAACGCATGGAATATATCAAGTTCGAAACAGTATACTCTGTTATGTACATGGTACTGCTCATGTCTATAGGCGACGGTTACCACGTTCCGTCTGGCGGGCTGTCAGCTTTGCCATTCTTAAAAAAATTATGATAGATACATTGGTACTAACGTATTCATTGTTACAGGCATGCGCGCCTCGCTTCGTCTCTTTCGTGTCGCACAAACTGAATCAGCGTGATCCAGTTGGCACGTGCTTCATCGCCAAGACCTTGGATGCTGATCGCGTGGAGGAAATCTCGCCATGTCGGACGAGTAAGTATACAATTATGAATTACGTATTTTGTCTACTGTGAGTTGCACAAAGGTTCGCGTTTCAATGGCGTTTACATTTACTAGATAATTTTGAAAAGGAACCTGGGTTGAAATCAACTAGTGACATAATTAAATTTAACAACTTAAAGCTTTTGTACAATTTACGCTAGGCACTTTGACCTAGGGTGGGTAATATTATATATAGCAATATACCCAACCAGGTCGACCTCCTCGCGGTGCTCCCTGGAAACTCAATATGGAAACTGGATACTCAATATATAATATATCCAAATAAAACACACGATCGAAAGAAATATATACCCGACGAATCCATCGTGGTTAATTCTTGTGAAATTCATCGACGAAGGTATCACACAAAATGGCGCATCAAAATCAACACCATTAAAAGGTAGCATAAACCACAAGTCCACCCCTCCATCTAACTGTATGGTTAAATTCAAAAGGCTATAGCGAGCCGCAGCGAAAGCTCGAGGTCATTTCCTTCACTAATGGCTACGCAAAATTGCCATGACTTGCCGATCTGTAATTTTATATATAAGTTATATCTTTTTTAAACTTTTTAGTATTTTATTGTTTAGTTTATAATATTGTAAATCAGAATAAATATTTTCCATAATGTTTTACGCTGTTATTCTAAACTGGTTTAATAATACAATATTATTATACCTACTTGTACAACAACTAGTTCGCTACCCTAAGGTTGTCTTGAAAAGCTTGCTTTCAGCAATAAGACTGCCCTATTGTACTTATACAACTGTATCGTTGCATTTGATAATTGTCTTGCTTATTCCCTATATAGTATAATACAAATAAAATATACTCATTTATTCATTCAAAAATTATTTTTTGACAAGTTACATACTTTGTAATAAAAAATACAATGTTTCATAATTTCAACATGTTTCATCAAAAATCCGTGATAATCTGATACATTCGATTGAACGAATGCGCACGTTGAAATAAACCAAATTGATAATAGAATTAGTATAAATACTAATTCATTACGATGACATTTTTCTTTGAAAGGAAAGGCACAAGAACAAATCGATACAGCTAAAAAAAAACTGAAATTATTCTAATAATATAAACGACGATCTTATCTCATTTACATATTCGTACGTCTATTTTATTAATATATATTTAATTAAAATATTATATTATTCTATATAAAAATAAGTATTTTTAATTTTTTTTAAATGATCATCACAGATATAGAATATTTAGGTTATGTGCAACTATTTATATATTACACTTTGTCTAGGTCACCGAATCGTGGACGAAGGTGAGTTCTGTGTAATAAGGTTATATATATAATATTGATGTTATTTATATTAACGCACTGTATAAATTATATCACGAATTTTATATTCATATGCTTAGTAATATTTGACCAAAACTACCTTTAGATTATTTCACATTGTAGACAAAGTATTTTTTATAAAATACGTACTGAGTATATTTATTATTTCACAATGTTATATGTAGTTTATTTTCTTTATTATTTATCAATTTATTCGTATAATTGCATGATAGACCACAAATATGATTAGAAATGTGTAGGTGCACAGATGGAATAATATTTTTTATTTTAGCATTAGATAAAGGTAGACGAATTTTAAAAATATGTTCAAGTAAAATGTAAATATGTATTTATTATTAAAGTATATATAAACAGAAAGTTTAACATTGATTATTACACTAGACTGAGCCAAAGAAATTCTTTACAAAACATAATAAATATAAAAGAAAGATTTTTCTGTTTTTGCAACCCCATACAGACTAAAGCAGTGAGGAGTGTTTCCTAATTTCTAAGCTAAGAACAAGGTCTTTCAACATGGACTGATGCCGTCAAAAGTATTGATGTAATATTTTTAAAAGTATAAAAAAAAACTATAATTTTTTTTTTATTTTTCATATTGACTCGACAGACTGTAATGTGGTTGTAGGTTAACCATAAAGACAAACACACATATAAATATATACATAGATGTAAATTTTTAGAAAAGCACTTAGCATTTTATTTCTTTGACAAAATAATAAATAATTCATGTCTTCTGTATTTTGTTTTTAATTCTTTTTGTAGTTCTATAACTCCAATATATAAGATTAATTTATGACTATAAAATAATATTATATTCTTTTAATGTATAATCATTTAATAATTAAATGTTGTCTGAAATTGACTTTCTTACTACATTATTTAATAATATATACCTTTAATAAAATCTTACATTTTAATGTTTTTCAAGCTTAATCTAAAGCAATAATAAGTACAGCTTAGTTAATCATAATTCAAATATTAATAAAGTTTCAATAAATAAAAAATATATAACATGAATATCATTATACGATAATGGTATGGTATGCACTATATGCGATAACTCTAGAGCATGCTACTGTGCCAAATAGCATTGCCCTCAGTTTATTTTTTTTAACATATTTATAATATATAATTTTTTTTTTTGTTAATTTTCCAGCCAGTCACGGTCAACGTAAGTCAGGCGTATGCCAAGCAGGCTTCTCAGCTGGTGTTGCCAAGGTAATTATTTTTTTTACAATTAAAGAAAATAATTCTTAAACTATTTAGAGTGGCAAACAATCTGACGCCCAGCCTGAGGAAAATAGTTCTCCTCTGTCCATAGACATGAACGGCATCCCTCAAGTGTTGTTGATTTTGAAAGTTCAGGCGCAAATATCCCTATTATATACTGCATTGACTTTACACTTTAGGCAGAAAAACAATGGGCACATTATTTGTATTTCTGCCTGTGCGCATTATTTCATGATAAAATACTCGTAACCTAAGTAAGACGGCATATTTCATTATTTATTTAAAAATTAATGATTGGAAATGGAATTGTAACCTCCTACAGGACACGAGTTATTATATGAATTTATGCATTTTTTTTTACGATCAGATTTTTTTTTAAATATGTTTAAGGACATACTTCTCATGAAACATCATAAATTATGACATACATGACAATTCGTTTGGAGATTTCATCGTAAAATTATTTTTATTACAAAATCCAACATATTACTAAGACATTTAGTAGTTTTATATCGAACTACATAATACAAATCAAAAAACAGTGGAGAGTATCATGTAAAACGTGGTTTTACGGTCGTGGGAATAGCATTATTTTTGCCATGTTGAATTACCATCGTGATGGTGGAGGCGCGCGCGCACGTGATGCGACTGCGCGCGCAGTCCTCTCCTTATGAATTATTAAACCTTTTATTGTTCCCAATGCAAAAAAACAAACAAATATGGCGGACGATTCCTATTTCGAAAATAGTACGCTTTATTGGGAGGCATTTTATTGCTCTTTTATTATGCCTGCTCTGTATTTGGGAGACAATTGGACTTTTTTCCTTGCGCTGTGACAGTTTGATTCTGAATGATTATAGAAACATGCAAGTATGAATGTCATACATACGGAGACAATAAAAAAGTGCTGCTATTTGCATATGCTATTATTTTCCTTTTTTTTTTTAATAGTACAGTAAAAGCTTTTTATTCACGGGGTATACGTTCATTAAAAATGCTTCGAATAAAGAAACCGTAAATATAGAAAACCGAACCACTTATACAGCGGCGACAGCATTTGCCAACATATTTTAGGCGTAGTTGTTTAGGTTTGTTATAATTTTTTTTTAGTCCATTTGCCAACGCCTTTACAAAGGATAACGAATCCTTTTTATTAATATGTACAGATAAGATCCATGAATAAAGGGATATTTAGACGCGAATATAGGAATTGGGTCGCAATTTTTTACTTCGCGAATAGTGAACGCGAATTAAGGAAGCGTGAATAAGGAACTTTTACTGTACTTTAAATAAATAAATCAAATTGAATTTAAAAGCAAATCCATGCGTGTCTACATTGATTGATTATAAGTAATAACACACATATAAAAGATATTTTGCCTAGAATAATTTATTGGTTACACGCATACTAATGATAGCGGAATTAAAAAAAATCGAATCAAACAAAGTCTTATAAACATTTTTTTTCTACGAAACGAATATAGTTATCCATTTATCCTCTCGTGTCATGCCCCCTTACGGTAAATAATTTATTTCTAACCCTTAATTAACCGATTTAAATTCTAACCGCACCTACTCGGGGTCTGTCCGACCCTCGCACTATTTATTACCGTTATCTCCTACTGGAACAATAAAGATGACACTGCATTATCGTGGGCATATATCATTGAATGCGAACTTTATCATTATTAAGTATTTATAAGTTACTATTATTACTTCCTTAGTAATATTTTATATGTGTAAGTTGTTTGTTTGTTACTTCCTGTCTTGACGTTCTGATAACTCAAGCAATCGTCACGAATATTAGCGTATGTTTACTATCAATTTGGGATGGAATAGGACACAAGCTGTTTTTATCTCAGTCAAGGAATGATTTATTCATAGATCGGTTATGCATGTGAATTTAATAAATTTAAATTAAATAAAATATAGCAAATTTAATCGAGCAAACAAAAACTTTTTTTTTTTAAATTAAGTTTATTCCTGGCAATTTGACTGACTGAAAAACTGTCTTTTTATTACAACTTGCAAATTTAAAAAAAAAAACTTAACCCTTCTTTGCATGATTTTTTTATTGGTTAAATAAATCAAGGTGATATAATTCATGTTCAAAATTAAGAGAAAAATTATTAAAAAAAAAATTTTACAAATTAAATTTGACGGCTATGTTTCTTTTCTGCAACGGACATTAAAAAGGTATCCAGACACGATCAACTTAAAGTGAACTTGTTCATTTATATAATTTCTGGGCATTCAATGCTATGATGGAAATTTCTACCATTATGCAAAGAAGGGTTAAGAGAACAAATATGTTGTACTTATAAAAATAAGACACTGGGGCCATTGCCCTTTTCTTAAAATGCCATTAACGCATTTGATTATAGTATTACGACTAATATCAAATATACTCATATTATTCATAGAAAAATAAAGTTGTAAACATAACGTGATTAAAGTAGTAAAATATTTTATAAAAATAAAAAGTATTTCAACTAATATTATATAGACAATATAAAAAAAAATATTCCATTATGAAATTACAATACAAACAATGAATTATATATAATTAATTTATATTAATGCTATTATTATATGTAAAAGACAAATTCTGTAAAATACCAAAAATGTCTTATTTTCTAAGTACCTATGTGACAAAAATGGGCCACCTTAAATTTTTTTAAGTTTAATCATTCTGACAGCATTGTCGATGAAACATTCAAAGATTTTAATACATAAAATAATTACAAAGCATATATTTTATTATGCGAATACTTTATTTCGTTTCTTAATAAAATATCACTTAATAATAAAATCACGTATTGTTCTCGTGTTACAGTAGATCACAACGGAGATTTATAAAATGTTTGTGGTTTTATTTCTTTCGGCGAAAGCGATGATATCTCGTCGGTTGCCTTGGGCAGAAGTTGTTGTTCGATCGTAATCTCTGGATCTCTGTTAGCATTCTCATACAGGAAGTGTATTGCACGTGTATTTTATTTGTTTATTTTATTTTTATTGTCGATAGAAACAATTTTACACAATCGTCAAGGCAAATGCAATAGTATAAAGTGGTTTTAAAAATATTAAATTCTTTTTTTTTTTACTGTTACACATGCGGCCAGTGTGTGACCTCACGATAGGTGTCTTTTGCCTTCCCGCCAAAAGAATATGGCCATGTTGTGTGAAAAAAAATTAGTAGAAATAGGCACTTTAATGTTTTGTTTTGCTGTACTTTGAAGATGTTGTAATTGCTGTAATTTTAATTATTAGTTTTAATTATTTATTGATTTGCAAGACTATTTTGTGTTTGTATTTATTATTGACGAATTAATTTGATACAACATAAAGAGTAGGTGTAACAAAAAGACGTTGTTGACTGATTAAAGGACAATTTCATAGATTGACTTTCGTGAATTAATTTTACATGAACTACCTATTTGTAGACTATTTTTACATTAATCATAATTTTGTGCTTCAATATAGATATATTGTAGTAGTTTATTCCTTTATTTTATTCATTTATGTCTATCATAAAATAACAACATAATAAAACTTACAGCTACATTCAAAACAATCTTTGTGAGAGACTGGTATCGGTACTAGGATAACCCCTTTACACATTACCAGGCTGCCAACTCAAGGACATCTATTTACTTGATTTGTTAAGGTAGATTTCCTGAAATGAAATAGTAGAATTTAGTAGTAATAGTATAGTAGTAATATTAACATTTGATACTTTGAACTTGAATGTTTTTTACTGTGATAATTTCTGTGAACTCTATTGATCGGTTTCTCATCAAATATGCCAATAAAATCGCTTGTTGGCACTTTAATAAATTTGTCACAAACGTCGAACGATTGGCGCAATGGACGGAGGCGCGAAGCAGACGCGATTCATTCCTATTCAACGCCCGTGTTGAATACTAATTTAATAGTATACAGCTTCGACATGCCCCGATACAAGATGACATTAAACGTAGGTAAATTTCAACGTATTCCAGTGTTATTCATAGCACGTACTGTGACCTAAATGTTATTGTAATTGTGTATTGTGTTACAACTTTAATTACAAGTTTGTTTCGATAAGTTTCGTGTCTGTACCTACTTTCCTTTTTACTTAATAATAAACTTTACAGGAAAACCAACAAATAAATGTATAATAACATTTATTTGTTGGTTTTCCTGTTAAACATTAAACCTGTCTTGGGGATTTTAATTTGAATATTGCGCCATATTTCAACTATTTTTTGAATTTCCTTTACTTAGAATTTTTTTAAGTAGACACTTTACACGCTCAGAACGAGTGAAAAAAAAAATGTCCCGCTACAATGTAGTGACTACATCGACAAATAATTAAAAAAGGATGAGGTAATTAAAACCATAGACGTAGTAGAGTAAGTATTAATTTGAAGAAAAAATATTTTGCGTTTGGGTAAAAATCAAAATATCTGGCAACCCCGTGCAAAAATGTATGTACATGTCTAAATAATGCTAATTAGCATCACCTAGAATTCGTTTTTAGTGCGATTGTTATTATAATATTGTATATAAGACATGATAATTATAAATGTAACAAATTGATGTCATAGATGGTGGTCTTTGGCTAATATAGCCATTTGAATACACTATTTGTACTGTCCAAACACGTCACGTCACTGTTTTTAGAGCAGTGAATTGTCCCCCGTAGGGTATAAAACAAAATTCTTTGACGTTACAACATTGTTTTACAAACATGGCTTCGGAACGCGAGCGTAAGCGGTAGCCATTTGCAGACAATAGCTGTTGGCGGGAAAACGCCCGTGCACCTTCGCTTAACATGGCGACGAACGGGGATTTGTCTCCGATATACGCTATTTTAAGCCGATTGCTTTTTCATTCCCGCCATTATTCAGCTTACAGCCGCCGACAGGGACTGCTATTTCTATTTCTGGAATCATCGTTTTATATGGTTTTTGATATTTCTCAGATCAAAGGCGAAATTCGTTTATTTCCAAGGAAAGTGGTGTAAGTTCTTGTTGTTTTATCGAATCCTCAACAAAAGTAGGTTTATGTTAACATATTTCTTCTTTCGACCAATTAATCATTACCTGTATTATTATTGTACCTTCGGCTCTGTAAGCATTTGCTATTAAAATTTTCCACTCTTTGACTGCTGTTTCTTATCATTCTTTGGATAATAGATAACCTAATTTCAGAATTACTATCACTAAGAATGTGCCTATTATGAAATCTTACATAATTACCTTACTACTTAAGCACAATATATCTGCTAGAGATAGCGTTTATGATAAAATATGTTTGTTGTATGCACCTGCAACATATTTGACTTTGTTTAAATGAGTGTCTTTGTGCCCATTTTATGCGGGTTTTATGTTAATACAATATTTATTAGGAGATTTATTATTGAATAGGTGTTTTGCAAGTTTGTAAACTGTAGTTTCATGGAACCGCTTCGGACCAATACTCCGCAGGTTAACGAGTTAGGTCGTTATTAATAATATCCTCAGAATTCGCCATTAAAATTAATTCTCGCCACACCTCGTACATATTCATTGAATCTCGCACAATGTTTCAATTGAATGGTGCGACGCGGGCACTGCGCAGGCGCAGGTGTACGCAAAACGTATTGGATTTTAAATGCTTCCAATATTTATGCGATGCACCATTGAATATTCAATTATTCACGTCTAGTTGCATTTATTGCTTTCTCTTTATTGCGCTTATTTCTATGAGTCCTTTGTCCGCCATTTTGAATAGATAATATATTTTTTGTTTTTCAATTCAAAGCCAGCGGTAGAAATTTTACTATCTACTGTAACTGGAATATAATAATACCTACGCAGATCTTGAAATTTCAAATGAAACACATAGTAAGAAATCTTAGATTATATAGATAGTGTCTCCATACAAATGCTTCGAGAAAATCGGGTCAACTTTTTAATACAATTTTGCGTGATAAATATTTTTTATAATTATGAGTGCTTCCTTTATAATTTCTATATTTAGTTTGTTAGCACATTAACTAATAATAAAATGTTTCGGTCATGCGGCCAAAATCGCAGGCAATAGCTATAATTAATATAAGCGAAAGTTTGTAATGATGGATGGAAGAATGTACGAGTATGTTTGTTGCGCTTTCATACAAAAACTATTGAATGAAATATAGTACATGAGTAAGTTATATCCTACCTTAGCAGATAGAATACTTTAGTTACTGGCCATTTGACATAGGCCAAACGCGAGATACAGGAACTCATTTATAACATGCTTATTTTTTTATACCACGAAGGTGGCAAATAATATACTTGTTTGCCACCTTCGTGGTATAAAAAAATCAGATAGTAAACGGTCACTGTAGCCTATAGACGCCTGCTATACTAGGGGTGTCACGTGCACGTTGCAGACTTTGAAGGAACCTTAATATTCCCTTTTTAAATACAATTTAAAGAACCCCGTTCCACCGGCAATCTTGTGACAGCAGTTAGACATGATCAACGTTCCCATAAACTATGGTTTTGACATTGTGCCCCTACGTAACATGCCCGAAAGCCGTGAGCGCTGCCCATGGGCACCGCATGTTGTTCTCTATATGGCGTGACGTGAGCCGTATTCGCATATTTATTCATTGGGCTGCAACGGCGGCGCGCGCGCATCCTGATTCTATGTTGACTCAATATTTATTGTGGTTAGCGATTTGCATTGAGGAATTGAACGGAATGATTTTGTGAAAATTTTCTTTAACCCTTTTTAGTGAATAAATATCATCATTAATATAAATCGTCATCATCAGAATCATCTCAGACATTACCTGTCCACTGCTAAATATAGGCCTCTCTCGTAGACTGGCAGAAGGAACGGTCCTGAGCCACCTACGTTCACTGACTCTCTGTAATGCATTTGAGTTCGTCACATCGTTCACTTCACGCAGTCTATTGGGAAGGCCTATGTCCAGCAGTGGACGGATAATGGCTAATGTCATGATAATGCTGATATTCTATGTTTAACACTTTAGTTCGCTGAAATGATTGAATGGAAATCAAACTAACAAATGCAACAAAAACATAATATATACTTATACGTCAAACGGGTGCTGTACATCGGTAAACTGTATTTCAACTTTTATTCCCAGGTTTTGTTCGTTGTACCCACACTTAAATCACCGAGTGCTTGTGTGGCATGTCCACACGTGAGCATTAGTTTGTATGTCTGTTTTTTGCTGCTTCTTATCTACTTGGTAGTTGTACCAAATTATGAGAATCGGCGATTGTGTGTGCATGGCTGTGTTTCGGTTTGAAGGGTGCGATATGACATGAATTTACAGGGTACAGAGGAATAACATCTGAGTCCTCAGGAATGGCAACGCATGGGGGGTATCATGGGCGAAACAGTATACTCTGTTACGTCCATGGTACCGCTCATGTCTATAGGCGACGGTTACCACTTTCCATCAGGTGGGTCGTCAGCTTGTTTGCCATTCTAAGTTGTATAAAAAAAAACTTAAATTAGCCCATATTAAGAATATACCCAATATATTGTAGTACATAATTATAATTATTTAGAATGTTCTCGATAATGTTATATGTATGTATATTAGAAAGTTCCCGCTGGTATCCTATAACTTATATCCAATCCCTGTATCTCAAGGATTACACGATTCTGTCAAAGTCACAAATTATTACATAAACGAAGTGGAAGCTGGATATACCTTTGTTTATATATTCCCATGTTATTTTAAGTGTAATTTTAAGAGTTAATTCCATTCAACAACCTTATTTTTACATTTTTTCTTTCTTTTAAATTATATTTTATTTTTTATTTATTTATATTTACCAACTAAGGGAGCTTGTAAGTTTCAAAATTCCTTCCCTATGCTTTCTATTTTAATATATTCTAACGAAGTTGTGTATATTTATCATGTCTCCAACTGATTATTAAATTTCGCATCAATTTTCTACATAAGTACTTACTAATTTCTATAAAATAGTAATCATAGTTTTAATAACAAAATGACGTGATGATTTGACAAATTCAATGGATAGATCGGTATGTTCAAACATGTTTTTTTATGTCTCAACAGCATCGACAGGTATAATTGTAGATCCTCTTAAGTTCGTCAGCACTCAGGAAGTGTGATAAAAGGACTTCACACACTTATAAACCCGTATTATTATCAGTCCCATTGCAATTAGGCCGAGCTCTTGCATTACCATAAGTGGGCCCATAAAAATGGAGCAGCCCTCTACATTGAACCATCGTAAAACATTCGATACGATGTGCTTATGGTATCGACAAGTATTTTATTGAAATACTAGCGATTTGTTTTATAAGAGATGAGAATTAACGTATTAACGTAATCGTTTAGGTATTTTTGTGGTACTGGTTATTTGTTTAGTTCCGCTAAATTATTTTGTTTAATTCCGCTACCATTAGTATGTGTGTGACTGCCAACATTCAAAGTTTGACCACCACTATTACTATCGGAAGTTCTACAACCTTATTCTTTATTGTACACAAAAAGGTATTGTATTAAAATAAATAATCATAGTAGTGCACAAGGACGAGTTTATCTTTAAAAGAGATTTCTTCCAGCAAACCTAATAAGAGATAAACTGACAGTTTATTAGTAGTTACAGGCATACATGTGTACCAATCGCCTTAAATGTTATAGTTAAAAATAAATAAATAAAAATAAAATACAATATATATCAGTAAATATGTATAATAAGTACGCGCATAATGACCTTCCATATGAGCTATCAATCTCCGACAGACATTTAGTTCATGCACGTTTTCAACCTCTAATAAGTTTCGAGGTTCCCAACCTCTAAACTTATTTTGTCTACTGCCCACTTTGAGAATAAATTATTTTTAGCCCCCCCTCCCCCTATTTTTTCACCTACTTAAAAACCCCTATTACTTCAAATTACAAATCACCCCCCAAGCCTCTACACAACACCCCCATTTTTTTTTGAGTCTCTTACCCTTGAGGCCTGCAGCGTCCACAAGGAGGCGTTATCGCCCACTTTGGAAAAGGTTGCTCTAAACGAGGAATCTTCAAGCAAATCCATTCAAGGTTTGTTGAAAGAGTCTTAACTCTTACGGCTAGGAGAGGCCGGTCATTAATCTGAATTGCATTTGGCGCCTTTTTACATCACTTATTTTTTTTTTACTGTAATCTTTATATTTGTCTCTGATGCAAAATTGTATACAGAGAAATAATGTGGAACTATATTAAATGGCATTTTGTTATTATTGTAAAAATTTAACACATAAATTACGTCTTTTACAGGATGGCACGCGGTTGTTTATGGGTGCACCTGGAAGCTTCTACTGGCAAGGTAAATATGATATATTATTTCCAATTTTTTTTTATATTTTTGTAGGCGGTGGTATATTCATATTTGGTGACTGTTCATGTTGTCAGTTATTGTTCTCTTCAAATTGTGATGTCGAATTATCATCTTCTATCTACACGGGTGATTAATACAGTGAACTTAAGTATTGTTAAACTCTCTTATTATCCTATTTATAGTTGTCATTTATATTTACAATATAATTTTACATTTTATTAATTCGATATACAATAGGTACGCTCGATAAACATCGTTTATATATTCTCGTAGTTTATCTAATTTATAAGAGTTTTATTATTAATGATTTAGTCGATCCTAACAACATCAAGATCGATTTAGACTTGTGAAAAATCATAGTTCACGAATCTCTGTCAAATCTTATATATACGTAGTTAGAAACCAATGCGAACACTGAACGACTTAATTGAAATCAACGACATAGTAACATTAAATTAGGAAGTCAAATATAGTATAAATATATTATTATAAAATTTTAATCCAAATCCACAGGGCGAACGTTTTCGATAGATATTACCATCGAACACAACCAGTACTTTATGTCATCAATACCAGAAGAAGGTAAACAGCTAACGTATCGCCAAATGACCATTTAATTTCTTTAACCGGACATAACATATTTTACGCCTATGTTATGTGCCATACATTCATAACACAGGCTTATGAGCGCCTAATTCTAAAATAATCGCCTACCGACCATCTGACCATTTATAACTGGTTAAATCTCGTTCTTTAATGTTCGGGAACCACCATAAACTTGCCATTATCGAACAATATACTAATAATATTAATAATTTCGTTATTCATACATATGAGTTTTTTGTTTGACTATAAAAATAATTTGGGGATAATATAACTAAACAATATAATGAGAATTATAAGCTTATCCATTACATTGATGAGTTAAAAGCTCTGCAACGCTTACACTCGAACGTGAAGAATAGATTTAAACTAAAACTGTTCCTCAATATTTGTATTATAATGACATATTCTGAAGTAACAGAACAAATATAAAATAATTGTATTAATATATTAGTATATATTGCCTTAATAATTGCGGAACAGTAGTTCAATAATTTCCTTAATTCATGGTGTAGGAACCAACCTAGGTTTCTTCCAGATACCTGTGTAAATTTAAAACTTCCTACCTTTGACCTAAATTAGTTATATTCATTTATTTTAGTTGTAGTGAATACATATCGGTTTATAACACTGCACGAAAGGTCATCTTTTAATTGTAATTGCATTTAGTATTACATTATTTGTTAACTCCACATAAATAGACGGTAATAATGTAAGCAACGATAGAAATTAAATTGGTAAAGAGACATATATATTAAATATATATATTGATATCAAATCCCCACATATAATAAATATGTACATTAAAACAGAAAATAATGTTACATAAACAAATTATATTCCCCAATTAAAGTAATATGGTAAAAAGGTTTTTATTAACGCTTCAAACAACATTCATAACACAGAAAATAGCGTCCATGCTTGAAAACCTAAAACTAATTATACAATAAATATTTTTTGTTCATTGGCTTTTTATAATATTTGGTCGCTATAACGTGGCTTTGGTGATAAATTTAACATTATTAATTTAAAAATATAATTTCATCATGCTTGTTCATATGGTGTGAACTCTAATAATAAACAAGCGTAAGATTTTCAATTTTAAATTGTAAATTCCAATATCATATTAAATAGTACGATGTAAATGTCATTGAGTAATGATTTAAATTCTTGTATCAACTTCTCTAATATTACTTTCATCTGCCTGTCATAGTGTCACTTGATCATCATTATCACTTCAATATTAGTAGGTCACAATTCATTATGATTATACATAGTTTTATCCATTAAAAGATATAGTATTGTTTCTTCAAACATCAATTCGCCTGTAACTTTTCTTTCTTGCTGCATTGTCTACAGATTGTTTTTCTTGCCACTGTAATGTAAATTTATATCTGTATCTTTTATGTGGATAATAAATAATAAATCTATATGTCAAATAAATGTTGTCATATGTTTAGTCGTCATATGTGTTTATTGTCTTAGATGTTTGGACTTAATATTTTATTTATCAATTCTTTAAAAGTAATTATTTTTTTTTTGTAAAATTTATTCAAAATTAGTTCTTGTTCTATGTTGTATATAGCACAATAGATAAAGTAGATATTTCATTTCCACGCAGAATCGATATGCCTAAAACATTAGATGAAATTAGTTTTTAATGTATCATTTAATATTAAACAATTTAGTTAACGAAGTCATGATTGTATGGTTTGTACTTGTAACTAAGTTAGAATGATTTGAAAGTCTAACGGTTTCTGAATTGAGAATTGTTGATAGTTTGTTTTTTGCTTTACCTAATTCTAAAATATCAGTAAGCAATTTTTTTTTATTAATATTATACACATTCAATTCAGGAACTGATTCTATCAATTTATAATTTACTTGCATTTACTAACATTGATTATTAAAATTTTAGGTAGGCTGTACTCCAGAAATTCAACTTATCTTATTGGAACAACCGAATCTAATCCAAAGTTTGATAATTCGTACATGGGCTATTCCATTACCGTTGGAGATTTCGAAGGACCCGGCATCCAAAGTGTTGCAGTAGGTGTTCCTAGAGGAGCTGACTTAAAAGGCTTGGTTAGTTTAATTGATTCTGTTATTGGATTACTTTTTATATTAGAACAGTAATAATGAATATTGTTTTTCGATCATTCCTTTTTTTTACGAAAAATGTTTAGTTTTATTCATAATAAATAAAGGATTGCAAATTACTTGGATTTCGTACAGAAATATTGATTTTATTTGACAGTTAGAATAAGAAGCAAATAAGCTAACGGTCCACGTGATGGAAAGTAGTAACCGTCGCCTATAGACTATGACATTACAGAATACACTATTATGTCCATTTTACCCCTCAAGTGTGGCCATTTCTGAGGACTAATGTAATTTCACTGCCACATCCCATTCAAATCTAAAGTCAGCCATGCAAACGAATCTGTTTCACGGCAGAAATAAGAGTGAGACAGAGGTATCTATGCAGACGACTTTTATACAAAGTATCCCTTTGTTGAGAATAGCAACGATAAGGTATATAAAGTTAAAGCAAGAAAAAATGTTATTGTTTAAAGTCCACATTATAATTTAGTGTAATAGCTATCGGTTTAACTTACGTGTAATTTGCTTGAGAAAGCTCAACTAGTTTAGCGCTCGCGTCATAGCTGCTTAAGACTAAGGGTCCTGGATGGTTTCAAAATTAGTAGTAATTTATACATTAAGATAAAATTGTAAAATGTTCCAGGTTGTATTGTACACATGGGAATTGCAAGCCATAAAGAATCTGACTGGAAGTCAGATAGGTGCTTATTTCGGTTACTGTCTCGCCGCTGGTGACTTCGACGGCGACGGTGCTGATGATATCGTCATCGGTGCACCCATGTTTGTAAAACCCAGGAGCGATGGGTACGAGCACGGAAGAGTCTACATCGTATACCAAGGGAAAGACAGGGTAAGTTACTATACTATTGTTTTTTTATTTTCGTTTTTTTTTTGTTCTTGTTTTGTGTGCTACTGTGTGAGTTGCATGATTCTTTGAATAAATTATTTCTTTCTTTCTTTATTTTTAAATAATTAGCTAATCACAACTTATTACCCTCAAAGATTCTGTAGTTTTCTATCATCTTCTCAAAAGTTAACTATATTAGCTACGCCAAATATGAAATAAAAATATTTTTTTACTGAACTAGATGTTATTTTGCGGAAGTCCATATCACTGGTTATTTGTTTAGAATTATTTTGTTTAATTCCGCTACTATTAGTATGTATGTGACTGCCAACACTAAAAGATTGACCACCACTATTACAATTTTCGAGCGTTGGCAGTCACACACATACTAATAATAGTGGAATTAAACAAAATAATTCTGAACAAATAGCCGATATAAAGAAATAACACAAAATTCTACACGTTGTACCATGTTGCAAGTGATTGCAGATTACAAATTTTTTTACTAAGAACTGTACTGAATGAGATTTTTGAAGTTGAAATCCATATAATAAGCATTATTGTACTTAATATCATTTAAGTAACTGACAATGGCAATTAATAGGTAAATGTACTTTAAAATTAAACTAATCAGTATTGAAATTCCAAATTATATTTCTTTGTTTTCAGTCATACACAAAATACCATTCACGTACTGGGGAGGTGTCGAGGGGAAGATTCGGTTTGGCTGTCACGTCACTGGGTGACATCAACTATGACGGATTTGGAGGTAAATGAACTTGATAAAAAATAAAACAATATTACACCACTTTTTTGTCACAGTGTTATTTTTAACTCCTACTATTACTATATCCATTACTAACTCCAACTACCGTAACTTAATATAATTATCCAGTACAAAAGAAGGAAAGCTTTGAAATAAAGCTCTTTATCAGGACGCCAGGTCTGTGTGGTAATAGAATGCTAATATTTTACAACTGTAGGAAGAGATCTATGCTAAATAGTGGGACTATTTTATTTATTTATTTCTTATTGCTTTCCATAATATGGTTGGTAAATATTGAAACAAAACACGAATAAGATAAAGGTAGCCAAGTAGACTAAGTTTAAAGTTTCACTTTGCCTTGGTTCCTTAAAATCTCTTATAATATATGGATAATGCTTTAACATATAACGTTTATTACAGATATCGCAGTTGGTGCTCCGTACGCTGGTGAGAATGGTCGTGGTGTCGTCTACATATACCAGGGTAGCGTCGCCGGGATCCGTGAGAAATATTCTCAGGCAATTACAGCCGAAGAGGTCTCTCCGACGCTGTCCACCTTCGGCTTCTCATTATCTGGAGGCATCGATTTAGATGACAACAATTACCCTGATTTGGTTGTCGGCGCTTACAAATCGGACACTGCTGTGTTTTTCAAGTGAGTAGTTTTATAATTTGAGATCTTCTCATACTTGTTTTAAGATGGAAAATTTTGTTTTAGATGGAATAAAAACTTGATTGTTGCAACTATACTATTACTAATATACTGACTTATGATTTTTACATATACATATGATGGACAGACAATTATTTAAAATCCAATCTGCTGTGTAGAATGACTACATTCTAGCGATATAATTAAATTACACAAATATTAGTTTGTTTGCCATTTGTTACACATTGTATAATCATCGTTTCATCTAAAATGTTAAAGTTGGATGTACATGTATATCTTTATTTAGTTTTGTAATTAAATTTAAATAGTAAAATTTTTACTAAAAGTCTAGGAATCTGCACTCTATAGACTATCATTTTTGTTTTTGGAATGTGCTGTTTCAAATTTAAATATTCTCCTTACAGATCTCGTCCGGTCGTCCAAGTGACGGCTGAAGTGAGTTTCGCTGGTGAAAAGTACATATCGCTCACTGATAAGAATTGTTTGCTGCCAAACGGCACCAGCGGCACTTGCGCCAACATCATGTTCTGTCTCACATACAGCGGTGTCAATGTCGACCAACAGATCAGTGAGTTCCTTTTCTTTTATTTCAATATGTTTAATAATAAATGTAACATTAACATCAATAAAAAATACTTGTAATTCAGTTGTAATGTTATATTTATTTAGTATTTTTTTATTAATATTATTTATATTTTCATATTTAATAATATTTCGTAAATTTCTTCATAATTATATTAAGTTAAAATGAAAATATTAGCTTCCTTCAATAATATATTCTAGCAGGGAAATTTTATATTATTTCCAAAAAAAATATGGTGTAAAATAAATTGAGTTAATAAAAAATTAGAAGTGGTTATTTGATTAGGATTATTTTGTTTAATTCCGCTAACATTAGTATGTATGTGATTGCCAACACTTTAAAATTGACTATAACTATTACTACCAAAAGTTCCATAACCTTCCATATTAACCGTCTATCTTCGACTGCCATTTTGTTCGTATTTCACCTTTTCGTGCAATACGTGTTTCACCTCTAAATGAGGCATTTTCAGGCAAATTATTAAATCACTGCTCGGAGCCTATTCAGCTCCCAAACTGTGAAAGTTTGAATAAGAGAAGAGAACACTTAGTTCAGGAAAAATGGGGATTTTTTTTTTGTCATTTTACGTCAATTTCCTTTGTGAAAAATGTTTAATTTCAGTGTTCGAATACTCACTTAAAATTATACTAATAATTTCAAATTCACTTTGTATATTTTAACTCAGATCTCTTAATACGTCATAGTTTAAATTTTCTGGTACATTTGATAAACGTATATGATCTACTTAAGTAAGTTAAGTAAATAGGTTAAGTTTTATTGGTAGTCCTATTCAGTAAGTTTTGAGTCACACTCTGTATTCTTTTTTCCAAGCGGAGGGATATATCTGCTACTTCGGTGAGTGGTTGAAGTAGCGTCTGTTATCAATAAAATTTAAAATTCACCATCACCGTTAAAATTAGTGACTAAATTTATTTAAATTATAACTAGATTATTAAATTTTAGACATTTTTTCAAATAATTTTATATATTTAAGTTTGAAACGTATCTCGAACATTACAAGTTTTAGAGAGGTCCAATTATATTTTTTTATTATTACACAAAATTAAAATTACAAATTTATTTTGTACTCATTTAAATTTTTACTTGTATGTTTACAATTTATATTTTGAAATAAATATTTGTTAATTTGTTGGGATGTGATTAAAAATTTCATAAAAATGTCTAAAATTGAAACTACATGTTTGCTCACCATGGTGCTTTCGATGTTAAAATATCACTATAAAAGTAGAAAAAAAAAAAGAAAAAGTAACTGTTCGTATTATGTTTATTTATTAGTCGAATTTAAAACTAACTTAATATCAAAAGAATATTTAACTATGCAATATTTGATAGTAACACCTAGTTTCAAGTTTGTTTATGACAATTACCAAAAATTACATATATATTTTATGAACACTATAAAATAGCTTCTATTTTGTATTATATATAAGTATATATGAATTTCATAAATTATTTTTTAATTCAAAAATATTTATCTGTACTAATGTCATAAAACTACTTCGTCCACGAATCAGTACATTTCATAATATCATAAGAGTTTTAAAACTAGTCACGTATATAAGGCTACGTAAATCATAAACCATCAATTTACAGTAGAATAAAAACGGGGGGAAAGGGATTGTTAGTAATGGAGACTGAGAATCCCATTGCTAAAAATATACCCAACCAGGTCGACCTCCACGCGGTTCCCCCTGGAAACTATCATGGTTGATTCCTGATGAATTCATCATGATGGGCTAACTGGCCTGTTTTCATTCTCATCTATCAGCCTTCACTGGTGCTCCGCTAGCGTATCCCGTTAGCGCAGGCGGGGTTGCCATACCATTTTTACTCATCAAAAAAAAAAAAAGTAGAATAAAAACACAAAGTAATTATCAAATTAGCTGACTCGTTTTTTTTATCAGTGTTCTTTATGCTTACGCATATAATGTATCTTGACGTATTATTTAATAAATAAAATTAGTGTTTACGCATTAAAAAGATGCATACATTTATAATACAAAATAAATATAGAAGTTATAAAGGAATCACTCGTAACTATTTATTACGCAAAACTGTATGAAAAAGTTAATTTGTTTTTCTCGAAGCATTTGTATGGAGACACTCTATGTATATAATTTAAGTTACCACACTATTAACCCTCGTAATGTCGCTGCAAAAGATTGTCAATTAAATAGTACATTATTATACCAGACTTCGAAGTAACCGTGGAGCTGGACTCGAGGCAGAAGACTACGAAGCGACTGTTCCTGGAAAGCCGAGAGACGAACTATACGACGCACATTCTAGTCACCCAGAAACAACATTCCTGCAGGAACATCACCGCTTACCTTGATGTAAGTTGTTAAAGTTGCTGTATTTCGATCATTTGATTTGCCATTTGCAGTGAGATCAACTTTTTGAAATTTTTATTTTGCATACATATATATTAATGTAAGTTTTTAAATGAGATGGTAATGGAGTGGTAACCCTGCTTGCACTATCGGTATACGTTGGCTGGGCTCCAGTGGAGGATGATAGATGAGGATGAAAGCAGGTCAGTTAGCTCTGAAATAATGAATTAACCACGATGGTTTCCAGGGAGAATCATGTGGCGGGCGATCTGACAGGGTATATTGCTAGCAATAGTCCTGCAAAACCCCGCTACTAGCAATCCCTTTCCCCCCATATTAATGTAGATGGCCAAATCAAATTATAGTTTAAAGAGTATAATTATACCTTCATAGTAAACTGATAAGACACAGTGTTTCACAGAGGGAAATTATTCGTATGACTGTGTTTCGGTTTGAAGGGTGGGATTTGAATTTAAGGGTACAGAGGAATAACACCTGAGTCCTCAGGAATGGCAACGCATGGGGGTATCATGGGTGAAACAGTATAGTCTGCTATGTCCATGGTACTGCTCATGTCTATAGGCGACGGTTACCACTTTCCATCAGGTGGGCCGTCAGCTTGTTTGTCATTCTAAGTTGCATAAAAAAAAAAAAAAAAAAAAAAAAAAAAATAAGGGAAAAGGAATTGCTAATAATGGGAATAAGCTGCCAATTTGGTAATGATATTCCCTATCGCCAGGTCAGGTCGTACATGGTTCCAATAAAAACTTTTGTAGTAAATTTTAAGAGAATTCGTCAAGATGAGCCAATTGTTCTAACTTTATTTTATTAATACCAGAACAATATATCGAATATATATGTCCCCCTGGAAACTATCATGGTTAATGATGAATTCATCATGATGGGCTAACTGGCCTGATATCCGCCAGCATATTCGCATTATCACCCATCCATTAATACCACAAAATATATACTAATATAGGCGTGATGTCTATTCTATTATCATCAATTAAAAAAAAAAACAAAATTATTTTCCATTTATATCAATAGATTATTTCAACAATAATCGGAATCAGAATGCAGAAAAACTTGTTAATAAATATTCTAAACAGACACTAGACCTCTAGACAAGTGACAAACGAATTCGTCGATGGAATCGACATCGCTAGAGAGTTCGTGAGTTGGAATAAGTCATCCGGCGTTGCTATCTCATTCTGTCTCACGGACTCGCTAGCGGTGTCGATTCCATCGACGAATTCGCTTGCCACTTGTCTAGAGGCCCTGGTCGCATTTACGATTAAGGATGAAACAAAATTTCATCTTTAAAGTAACCATCCAAATATTATATTTACAGGAAGAGATACGTGACAAGCTAACTCCGATAGAAGCGAAGATGACCTATCGCCTGATAACGCAGCCGTCCGGTGACATAGTGCCGCCCGTTCTTGACCAGACCGAGAGCATCGTCCACACTGACTCGCTCAACATACAGAAGAACTGCGGCCCCGACAACATTTGTATACCGGACTTGAGGATGTTTGTCACCACGTGAGTAATCATTCAAATTCACACAGAATATCTTAACAGGGAATTCATACTAATAGACTGGAACCTAAATAGTCGGGTACAATGCAGTTTCAGAAGAATTTCGTCCCGCGAACGCTCAAGCTGTGGAACACGCTCCTTGCCGATGTTTTCTCTACGGACTATAGTATGGAGTTCTTCAAAAAAGGGTGTATTAAGGTTTCTTAGGGATCGAAAACGCGCACATGACTTTCTAGGTGCTGTAGGCGTCCATAGACTACAGTGACCGTATACCATCAAACGAACTGTATGTCTATTTGTCAGTTCTGTGATATAAAATAAGTGTTTAAATTATGAGAGTTTTCTATTCGTGAATTTGATAATGTCTACTAAAGAAACATAGGTCAAAAATTTACTTAAAATTTTTAGTGTACATACTATATTAGCTTAATATGGCTTATTAATAAGATTCAAAATTGAGAAATTTTTCCATTTCTTGTTCCTTTAGAAAAAGTGTTCAGTTTCACTGCTAGATAAGTCTTTAAAATGCTAATAATTTCAATTTTATCCTGCATATTCACGAAAGTATTCGTAATTTATAAGTATTACAAGTAAACCTAGTAAGTTTTTTCGCGTAGAATTCGTAAAAACCTATGGAACTTTATAAAACCCCGTGGGAATTTTCAAAAACGTGTCTTTATATCCTAAATACAAAACGTACTTTTTATATGCTAACACGCAGACAAAGCCACAGGAAACTGCTAGTCAGTAGTAATTGTAATAGTTTATAATTTGTTTATCCACAGCCCTGTCGCAAAATACCTTCTCGGTTCTGGCGAGAATATCAACATTGATATCAAAGTGGACAATTCGGGCGAGGACGCGTTTGAAGCCGGTTACTACCTTGGTCTCCCTGCTGGGGTCACGTACGCCAAGATGGAGAGGTTGGACAAGGACAACGCAGACGCACTGCCCATATACTGCTCCATGATGACCACGGCGCCGAGTGCGAACAGGACCTTGAAGTGTGACCTTGGCAATCCACTGGCTAGTGGACAGAAAGTGAGTTACTTGCTGCTCCTTACTGACAACCTGACTTATTTTCAACCGATTTCAAAAAGAAACATATTTGCAATTCGGTGGTATTTTTATGTTTGTTACCTCATTACTTCGTCAGTTATAAATGCTCTTAGCTTTGGAAAATTATTTTTATCTGAAAGAATATACTTAGGAACAGATTGATCCCATAAAAATGTTGTCAAAATCGGTTTAGTAGATTAGTTTCTGAATCAATATAACTTGTTTTGCTACATTTGAAGTCGATTTTTTTTTTCGTAGAACGCAATTTTAATCATTTATCTATTTCTGTTATTAGTTTTTGATAGGTTATCTATATTACGAATTTTCAATTAGGTACCTTTGTACATACTTATTTCATAAAAGAGTCCAGTATTGTTAATGACCAAAAGTTCGTCTTCAGTTTTCCAAAATCTTCGTTAATTGTTAAAGAAGGTTTTTCTAAACATATGTCCTATTTCCGATTCAGGTAAACTTCCGTATAATTCTGGAGGTGGACGCTCGCGTGAGGAAGCTGGTCTTCGACATGGAGACCAATTCGACCAACCCTGAACAGGGCACTAACTACGACAACGTCAAACACATGATCATTGATGTCGTGACTCGAGCTATTCTTTCTAATATTGGGTATGAATTTAAAAGATATTATTTCTTTAAGAGCATACGCAACAAGGATGGCAACGTACTTCTTATCTGTCATTTTCCAAAAACAATTGACTATTTTTCAATGTTTTCGATTGATTATTTAAAAACTGCTCTGTTAGCGAATATAATATATCCTTTTTAAAAAATATTAGCTGTGTAGCTCCAGCATAGAATAGGCTACCTCTTCCCATCTCATGGGTGTCGTAAGGTGCGGCTAAAAGAGGACGAGGGATGGGTGAGCAGCGCCCCTTTTAGTACATCTCCAAAGCCTAACTGCGGTTGCCAATCCGTCTGCCAAGCATGGCAACTACTGGCAAAATCCCCCAAGGGAGGGTTTGGAGGGTTTTACTAGTAGTGAACAATTAAAAGCTGATATGATGACGATGATTTTAATAAAACGCCCTTCTGTATGCTTCTGTATTATTCTAGCAGTAAGTTTCTGTTCTAATTAAGAAGATATAAAAGTCTACGCTTTTTCTTTTTACAGAACATCAGATCCACCTGAACTCCACTACAATGGCTCATTGTACCAATCGCAGGATTTGAAGGACGACACCAAACTCGGACCACAAGTGATACACAAATATAACATCAAGAATGAAGGCCCGTCTACTGTGAACGAGGCAGAAATCATTATCATGTGGCCATACCAGACTCTTGATGGTATGTAGGAACAACAGTTGTTATATATCTGGCGTCTCCATTATTAGTACTTCGAAAGAACGTCAATTTAATCATTTACCAGAGTGTGACTTCGTACAAAAGTCATTTGCTTGGGTACTTCTGTTCTATTCGTGTTTTTACCGTGAAGCACTTGTGTTGCATGGATGTGTTTCGGTTTGAAGGGTGGCATATGGCAATGGATTTACAGGGTTCAGAGGAATAACACCTTACTCTTTAGGAATGAGGATCATTTTTTTAAGCAACTTAGAATGGCAAACAATCTGACGGCCCACCTGATGGAAAATGGTAACTGTCGCCTATAGATATGAGCAGTATCATGGACATAACAGTATGTCATTTCTATTCATTAAAAATTGATTTTTTCTCAAATCAACTATTGCATCATTACAGGAGAGAACCTTATGTATATGCTGGTGCAACCACAGACGGTAGGCAACGTGAAGTGCGACATAGCGAAACATATAAACCCAGAAGAATTGTTCGTACAGACACCCTATGCGTTCTATCTTACCAAAGAGAAAGAAGGTGAGATGCAGTTATTACTTCTTATAATTTGTGACCAAATAGTGGACACTGCTGTAAACCAATATCTTCTTTGCAACTGCAGCGCTGTGTCTCTTATCTTTTCCTTTTTTACCAACTTTTACTCGCTTCCAACGTCCCCCGTTTTGTTTTCCTCAATCCTTTCTTCCACATCATAAGTGGCTGGTAACACCAACAGATGCATTTCCATACATGGGTTGACGTCAAGCAAACGGCTGGATGTAAAATCATAAACCAAAACATTGTGTAATATAAATAAAGACATATTATGCCGACCCCAAATAATTGGGGTGAGAGCAGGAAGGTGATGATTATTTTTAAGTCATATTCTGTTGACCATTAACCTGAGGGCTGGATGACATAACGTATATTGTGTGGCAGCAGTGGATGAGGTTAGGACAGAACTATTAGAAATGATATTAAAAATGATACAAACGTCCAGCTTAGCTTGATGCAGACTGATCAGATAGATAGATTTTCTGTCGTTTATTAATTTAAAAAATATTTGTGAAAATTTTGTAGTCTTTTATATTAATTGGGGGGACCCAATGATATGTAATAAATCACTACATATTTGTATTGTTATTAATGCATTTATTTAATTTTCAGCTATGTTATCTACCGATCTTTATAAGGAGTCTGAAATACTTGGTAGTAGCGGCTATTATGGACAAGGTGAGTTCGATAAACATCACAAAATTGATTGCTACTTCATAACAGAAAAATAGCTTCTTTCTTATGAGATGTATCTATTAATATAATCTTGCATCTTTACAGTGAACTGGGATTATAGTCAGTCTGGTGACAATCAAGCTTCGGTTGGGCAAGGTGGTGGTAGCTTCGTATCAGGGGGACAGTCTACCCATAGGCAGTTCGGTGTTAATCAGGGCTCCGGTGGACAGGTTACCGCTAGCAATGGCCACACTTTCACATTCAACAAGACATGGGGCGAGTCTTATGACCCAGGTTTGACAGAAGACGAACAAGAGCTGGTTAGAAGGAGAATTGCTGCGAAAGTAGCAGCTGGAAGTCAGGCTAGTGATTATGGAAGTCACAGTAGTCAGGGTAGCTATAACCAAGGCGGTTACAGTGGGGGAAGTCATGCCCAAGGCAATTGGCAGGTTGCCGAAGGTGAAGGTTACAATCAGGGTGGGAAGATCGTAAGAGTCAAAAACAGAACAATTACATATGATAAAGACGGAAATATTATATCACAGGTTGAAAGTAGTACTGAATACGGAGATTTGGGACATGAGGGTGAAGCTGGAAGCTCTTTCCATCTGTAAGTATAACTATATAATATTTTTTATGCAACTAAGAATTGTAACCATACTACCTGATAGAAAAGATAATCGTCACAGTGTCATAGACTTTATAGTATTCTTTGTGATGCCCATAGTGTACCTCATGCATTGACATTCCTAGTGTCTATGATTTAATGTCTGACTGCTCTGTGATTTTAATGCCATATTTCACTCTTCATACCGAAACAATCATGCCAGTATAGTTGTTCTGTGGCAGAGACACTAGTGGGACAGAAATACTCAAAGAAATGATTCTTGTGTAAAGTTTCCCTCTGGTAATCTTAATTTTATTGTGTAATTTTAATTTCAAACTATATTTTCAGTTACGGTAACAGAGAAAACAACCAAGGATCTAGTGGGAGCTACAGCCATAACTATGGACAAGGTTACTCTCAAGGATCTGAACATAGTCACGTGCAAGGAGGCAGCGGATTTGCTCAAGGATCTCGCCAATATAATCAGGGCTCCTATAATAGTCGTGGTTCTGGACAAGGGTTCGGTCATAGCTCGTGGGCTACAACTGAAACCGTCAATTCTGATGTCATGAAGGCCGGTTCTTCGACTTACCACAGTAATAGTGGCTTGACTGTCCTTGGTGATGAGGAAGAAGACAATATCGGGGGAATTGGAGCTTATGCAGCTCAGGATTCAAACAACGAGTTTAAATATGGAATCGCTGATGTTACAAATAGTGGGGGTGGTGCAAGCTCTCAAAGTGGGAGTTACAGCAATGGTGGTTATGCTGGCGGCGTTTCATATCAGGGTGGCCATGCTGGCGGTGGCAGTTACCACAGCAGTGGAGGTGCACAAGCGAGCAATAGCGGCGGGTACTATTATTCTTCTTCTTCACAATCAGGCAAGTTTTTAAATAAATTAATTATTTTACAATTATACTATAATTTCTTTTTACAACTAGCTTCCATTCAAAATTTTATATTTTGTTAGATAATAACTATTTTTGCTAGTGCCCTTTTACTACTACAAAAAAAAAGAAAGAAACAAAAAAATATTAGCTGTCACAATACGAAGAACTAGATGGAACAGTGTTAGTACTCTTGTAGAGTGTCGTAAGAGGCGACTAAGAGGTTTAAGGTGGAGAGTAGCAGCGTCCTTCTTAAAACAATACCGAAAGCCAAACTGCAGTTGCCAACCCGCCTGCCAAGCATGGCAACTACTGGCAAAAGCCTCTTTATGGGGAGAGCTATATTCAGCACGGGTCAGTTTACGACTGATACAACTATATGTGATTAATGTATTGAAATTAATCAGTTAAACTTGTGTTAAAACATATATTACTTGTAAAGTAACGTGATTAATTTTGATGCCAACGTTTTCCAGGTGGTCAATCCAGTATGCACGCCGAGAGCAGCTACGGTTCATCAGGCGGCAGGCGAGTATACAGCAGGCGGCGTCGTCAAGATATGGTAACTATTATTTTATATTTTTCTAAATATCTGTTTAAATGTATCAAGGGGAGTTTTAATGTAACATTGCCAGCATAAGTAGGTAATTTTGTTTCTCTTTGTTTCACTATGGACCATCGCAGCTATACCATTACCTTATGGTGTTCAGTTTGGAGGGTGAATATTAGCATTATTTATTGGAGCAATCAATAGGCCATTAATGTAGGTCCTTGGAATAGATGTCATGTAGTAAATTTATACAAAAAAGTCGAATTGTAAAACTTCTTGTTGTGATAATTTAAAAAAAAATTAATGATAGTTTAAGTTCTGGACAATTTGGTGTAATTATAAAAATACTTCTTTCCACAGGTGGATAATCAGTTGAAAGAGGTGTTAGAAAAATGTGAACAGAAATACAAGTGTGCAGTCGTGAGATGCAGGACTGGTGTCCTACTGAAGGATCAGGAGATCTGGCTCGCTCTGAGGTCCAGGATCAATGCTACAGTCTTAAACGAGGTAAGATTAATAGCTTATTTTTTTTTATACAACTTCGAATGGCAAACAAGCTGACGGCCCACCCGATGGAAAGTGGTAACCGTCGCCTATAAACATGAGCAGTACCATGAACATAACAGAGTATACTGTTTCGCTCATGATACCACCCATGTGTTGTCATTCCTGAAGACTCAGGTGTTATACCTCTGTATCCAGTAAATTCACGCCATATCCCACCCTTCAAACCGAAACACAGCCATGCAAACACAACTGCTTCACGGTTGAAACACGAATGGGACAGAGGTACCCAAGCAATCGACTTTTGTACAAAGTCTCCCCCTGGTGAGAAGAATTATTATTATTTATTAATTATATTAGAATAATGTGGTCCCGGCCCAGAATGGAACATCCCTTCGTTTCAAATTTAGTAAGAGGCGACTAAGGAAATTTAATTGTTGAGGATTGAGCAGTGATGCCCCTCTTAAAACCTCAATAAATCTAAACTGTGTTTGCCAATCTATCTGCCAAGCATGGCAACTACTGGTATAAGTCAACAAGACGAGGCGTAAGTTCAGCAGTTGACAGTTAACGAATCTTTGAATAGAATTTATCGTTAAGGAAGGGAAAGAAGTGTATTTAAAGTGGTGCATTTAATTTAGCTGTCCTATTGAGTCTACCTGTCCTATAGGACGAGAAATCAAATATAACTTTTATGAGAATTTAGAACACTTATTTTTTTTTTATTTATTTTACATATTTATAAATCTTTTCTTTATTACAAATATATAATATATTTATAATATGAAATAAAAAAATTAATTTTAATTCTGTAAAATTTTCACTTTTTAGTACGAGTACCATAATATATATTTATTTGCCAGAAATATATATTTTTTTTGCCTTACTCTTTGGATAGTGTATCTTTCTATTATTGGAAGTCGTTAAAAGACCACATGATTTCAAATCATTATTTCATTAAGTTCGTTTTTCGATCTGGACGAAAGAGGAAACAAATATTGGCTATAAACATAAATTGGCTAGGGATTAAGTATTTTGGATTGTACCTTTTTAATCTTTGCCTGGGTTCTCATAACGCAGGGTATCCTGGCTTGGGGACCAGGCGATAGATGTGATTGTGTGCCACTCATTATATTATTATATCAGCCGTTAACTGGCCATTGCTAAACTTAGACCTTCCCCATAAGAGAGGTTTTGCCAGTAGTTGCCACACTTGGCAGACGGGTTGGCAACCACAGTTAGTTTTTAGTAATGTCCCATTCGTGTTTTAACCGTGAAGCAGCTGTGTTTGTGTTTCGGTTTGAAGGGTGGGATATGGCATGAATTTACTGGGTACAGAGGAATAACACCTAAGTCCTCAGGAATGGCAACGCATGGGAGATATCATGGGCGAAATAGTATACTCTGTTATGTACACGGTATTGCTCATGTCTATAGGCGACGATTACCACTTTCTATCAGGTGGGCAGTCAGCTTGTTTGCCATTCTAAGTTGTATAAAAAAAATTTTTTTTGAATAGGACGTTACTTCCCATCGCTCGACCATTGAGTTTTCTTAGTCGCCTTTTACAATACATACGGAAAAGAAAGCCTGGCCTATTCTATGCCGGGACTACACGGCATGTGTGGCACTTATTAATAATTTTAATTAATGTCTCCAGATCTCCAGGGAGCGCCCAGTCAAGCTATCAACGCTAACAGCCGCTCGAGTCACATCACTGCCAACAGTGGGCCGGCCGCAGGACCAGTCGTGGAAGATAGCCGAAGCTAATACTGTGATCACACCGCAGCTGGAAGCGCTTGAAAGCGGTTCCATACCGCTGTGGGTTGTGGTGTTAGCTGCTGTTATTGGCGCTTTACTCCTGCTCTTACTAATCTATGCTTTATATAAGGTAATTAAATTAAACTTAATTTTTAATTGAAATTTAGTTAGCTTTTACCCGCGTCTGATCGGGGAAAAAGTAGTCTATGCTCTCCTCCATCCCGTATAGTACGTATATACCAAGGGTTGCCAGAAGTAGCCGCGTTTGGCAAGTGGTATTTTTTAATAGATGATAATGGAATAGTAACTCCACCTGCGCTATAAGTATACGCTGGCGGAGCACCAGCGAGGAAAGATGGATGACGATGAAAGCAGGTCAGTTAGCCCATCGTGATGAATTCCACTAGAATTAACCACGATGGTTTCCAAGAGAAACCGCGTAGATGTCGATCTGATAAGGTATATTGTTAACAATGGGTCAGTTAGACCCCATTACTAACAATCCCTTTCCCCCCTGGCAGGCGGGTTGACAAAATACCATAAATCATCAGAGAATATTTTTTTACGTGTAAGTGTTTATACATTGGTTTACGCTGACGGGGTACAAGTAAGGGTTGATAAATGAGGATGAAGTTAGGTTTATTAGTCTATCATGACAAATTCCCCAAGAATTAGCTGAAATAGTATTCAACTTTCAGTTTAGATAATGTAGCAGGTCTACCTCGATCTGATAAAAGCTTATTACTGACTATAAAACTGTTACTTTCCATTGCTAAGAATTCCCCGCAGGACTATGGGAATTGTTATCCTCTTTAGCGTTGCTAATCATATAAAAACAATCGTTCCAGTGTGGCTTCTTCAAACGCAACCGCCCCTCGGATCACGCCGAGCGGCAACCACTGAACAACCACGACGAGCACCTCTGATATCCGACCACCGACCTCGGGCTGACGAGCGACACGGGCGGCACCAGCACCGCTAGCGACTCCTCCACGGACGCCGCCAGCGACGTCACCAGCCGCGATTCCACCAGCCTCGACCGGTACTGACGGAACAAAGTACTCGTCTATAGATTCTAGATTGTTCTCCAACACTAACATTTCCAAGTGTTGCAAGTATTAAAATATTCGAATTTCAAAAACACGCATAAATTTATATGGTAGATGATTCAAATGTTGCAAGCAATAAAAATATTCGAATCTCGAAAACATGCAGAGGTTATTTCATATAGTAGATGAATAATGAATTGCTGAATTCATCTCTTAAAATGATACGCACATAATAAATAATCATTGTATTAAAAATCAGCACTGCCCTTATATTGACGAAACTGGAAAATGAATTTGTGCAACCATTTAGTAGTATTGAAATAATAAAATGAATATTCATAGTTTTGTATAACTTCTTGTAATATACCTCTGTCTAAAATATCAACATCGATAGGTATCATAAAAAAGCTAGTTTGTAGTGTAAAAATTTAAAATTTAATGAATGAACGTTTTTTTGTTCGATATAATGTAGGTCTGTTACTGATTTGAGTATTTTAAGTGTTGCAAGTAATAAAAATATTTGAATTTCGAAAACATGAGAGATGTATGGTAATTTTATTATAACAGTGTTTCTAAAACAATGGTATAAATTACTGACTTATTCACTTCAAATATAGAGCAGACAATGGTAATTTTATTAAAAAAAATCAGAATAAGCAAAGGAACAAAGCCGTGCATATAGCCAGATTGGCTATATGTACGTACTATATGTACTTTCAAATACTATAAATTAAGGAATCTATAGATTGTCTTTGTTTAAGTTAAAAATTAACTACATAGCTAATTTTTTGAGGTTGGTGGAATTTACACAATTTTCTAACGGAGATTCTTTTATATTGGATACTTATATTACAAAAACTGACAACTTGCAATTACTAAAAAAAAAAAAAAATCAAATTGTACACAATAAAAAAAAATAGTATAAAGACGTATAAATATTCCAGCTGGTGCGATAGTGCCTTACTCGAAGAAATTAGTGCCTTAAACTTTTTTAGGCATTAAAAAAGTTTAATAGGTAAATTTTTCACGATATTCCCAAGCTGTATATAAAATATTATTTCGTTGTAATATATTACTAGTCACGATATTAAATACAATTATTATTAAACTTGTTGGGTCGCCATACTAGTAAATATTTAAAATAAAAGCGAAAAAGTATATGTGAGAAGGGATAAATCTCAAAGTGTGATACTGTAAAAAGTGTGTCTATTAAATGTATGGAAGTGTAGATTGTCTATGTTACCATAGCGCGCGTCTCCAACTTTTACTTCAATGTGTGTAACCATGTTCAGACATGGTGCTCTGTTTGTGTTTGTGAGGACACGTCTCTAATGGCGATCCGGATAGAGGAGGGTTATACTTCTTGGTCGATATCTTGTAAATATTTTTACTCGCACATTTTTAATTCTTTGAATTTTGGAGGGGCGTGGTATGTTTTTATAGACAATCTATAATTGAGAAATGTGATTTATGTTTAAACTAATTAAGTTTATTTTACTAAATGAGATGACATCTTCACGTGTATTTATATATGAATGTGAAATAAGATATATTTATTAATTTACTATTAATGCTTCAATAGTTTTAACTATAAATTTAATTTAGGAGGCATTGTTGTAATACCTACATGTTTTTGAATAGGTATGTAATGAAGGATTATTTCAAAATAACAGTGGAATTCTAGCTTTGAATTTAAGGTATATATAGGATAGCAATAATGTTTTCAATTGTAGTTTTGTAGTTAATGGACTGTTTTTGTAAGGCCATTCTAATTTATTATATTAAATTAAGTTTTCACCTTCTCGACTTATGTCCGCTTTAATAAATACCCTGTCCTCTAACCTATAGGAAAAAAAGTACGTATGTCCTCTATTGACAGTTTCTAAGTCCTTCCACTACCTTGTCCTCTCTTTTAATGAGTGTTTATTGAATTTGTAGATTATATATATTTTTTTGTTATATTATATTATAAATTAATTGACAGTTATTATATTTAAAAATCGAACAGAACACGGAATTATTTTGATGTGAAATTAGCTAAATTTAAATTATATAAGTAATTAATTATATTAGAATGGCTTTTACTTACATTACATTACATATAGGTAATAAATTACTCAGTATGCCTTCATTAGCAATATGTACAGCAAATTATGTATGTTGTATATACATTTAAAATGTAAGTACATATAAATGAGTATAATTATATGAAAGCGTGCCTTCTGAAACTGCCAGTTACTACTTAATATATTAATTATATTAATAATAATATTTTATAATTCAATTATTATTAATAGAGGATAAATTATTAAAAAAAAAACACATATTTATTGATAGATCTTTGTTCTAATCTTACGGAGGAAACTCCATAAGGTTACAATAGTAAACTTATTAGTATATATAATATATATTTTTTAATTAGTTTTTTTTTTATTCAATTTTTTTTAATATATTATTATGAATACGTAACTATATATAGATTTTAAATTATTCTCTATTAAAAACAATTGAATTAGTTATATATATCTAATAACAGTATATGTAGGTAATATATAATATAATATATATTTTTGTAACATATTTTTTTTCACAGAAAAATATCTTTTTAATGTAAATACACTTGGAGGTTGTAAGTTTATTTTCTAAAAGTTGTACTTAATAATTTTAAGTGGTGTCCTATGTGTTTTTTTTTTATCATTTTCTTATTTTTTTTTTCTTTCTCTTAAATTCTACTTTAAAAAAAATATATTATTGAAAATAGTTATAGTTCTGTGAAAAAAATTTTGTTACAAAAATTATATAAATATATCAAAAAGATTTTTGATAGAAAACCGCTTCTATTTTAGACTAGTGGAGTCGACTAAACCATTAGTTGCCATAATTACGAATAATAGTAGCGTAATGTATTTTGGTTGTTTGTATCGGTAACTCATTTGCATTTACCAAAAATTTTTTTTTTAATAAAAAATTGTTTTTTTTTTATTAATTTAATTTAAACACTTTGTTTTATTTGTTTAATGAATTCCTGATCATTTTAGGTATTTTCTATTTAAATTAAATAACAAAATTTAAAATAATATGCTCACGACTATATTCATAATGGGGTCAAAGGTATTATTTCTAGGAGAATAATTTAAAACTGTTTTCCAAAAAAAAAAACTTACTTTAATTGTGGCAAAACCAGTTATTTTGATTTGGCAACTAAACTACTAAACTGATTTTGATAAAACTTCAATGAGCCCATTCTATAAGTATATCCCTTCAGATAAAAAAAAAAAAATAACTCAGCAAATTGGTTTTCAACTGGCACAATTATGAGGTGACAAACAAAAATCAACCTAATTGAGTACTTCTTACTTTTTCAAATCGGTTGAAAATGTCATGGAAACCTTACTGCGCCATTGGCATACGATAATTGAGTTTTTTTTTTGTTATACAACTTAGAATGGCAAACAAGCTGACGGCCCACCTGATGGAAAGTGGTAACCGTCGCCTATACACATGAGCAGTACCACTGCCATAATAGAGTATACTGTTTCGCCCATGATACTCCCTATGCATTACTATTCCTGAGGAGTCAGGTGTTATTCCTCTGTGCCCTGTAAATTTACGCCATATCCCACCCTTTAAACCGAAACACAGCCATGCAAACACAACTGCTTCACGGTAGAAACACGAATGGGACAGAGGTACCCAAGCAATCGACATTTGTACAAAGTCTCCCTCCACCAATAAGGCCTATTGTGTTGTGACGAATGACTGACGTTCACGTTGATTCCAGGGGGGACCGCGTGGAGGTCGATCTGACAGGGTATATTGGTAACGAAGGTGCAGTTAGTGGTAATTGTTAACTGCTGTTAACGTTGTGGTAAACCTTTTTTTTATGCATTTTAGAATGACAAGCTGACGGCCCACCTGATGGGAAGTGGTAACTGTCACCTATAGACATGAACAGCATGACATAACCTTCATTCTGAGCATGTTTGTCTTCAATGTAACAGGAGGCAAGCTTATCTTCTCTACGAATTATATGGTTTACGTATCCTTCTCTTCTTAGTATCATAAGATAGAATTTTATTCATTATATCGAATGACAAACAACAGAAAGGGGTGTATTTGGCCATATATTGTCAAACCCTATTATTAGGGGGGGAAAGGGATTGTTGGTAATGGAGACTAGAAATCCCATTGCTAGCAATATACCCAACCAGGTCGACCTCCTCGCGGTTCCCCCTGGAAACTATCATGATTAATTCTTCATGATGAATGCTAACTGGCCTGTTTCCATTCTCATCTATCACCCTTCACTGGTGCTCCGCCAGCGTATCCCGTTAGCGCGGGTGGGGTTACCATACCATTTTCATCCAACAAAAAAAAAACCCGATTATTATACATAAAAATATGACTGAGGTAATCAAATGTACAAAGGCGAGCTTAACTCTAAAAGAGTACTCTTTCAGCAACAGTCAAGGAAAGGTACATATAATATATAACATAATATGTAATAACATTATTATAAAAGCCTTTTTTAACTTTAGTTTTCACGTGGGCTGAAAAAAAACCGGTGTATGTAAATTTAATGCAATTATTTATTTATTTATTTTATTTGGGATAACAACAGCTTTTTACAAAATTGAATAGATATTAAATTACATTTACTACATATTAGCCAATTATAGTTACCCACAGCGCAAAACATAAGCATCCGTTAAGCAAATAAAACCATATTTCATAACAACATTAGTATGGTGCATCCGCTACAATGCTCGCACTGTACATATATTGTGCGAACATTTTCAACCGACTTTAAAACGAAATAGGGTTTTACTTTGGTTGTGTTTTTTTTATAAAAAAAAAATACTAAATAAAAAGTAGTATATCCTTTCCAATATTGCAAATGTGAATGTGAGTTTGTTTATTTGTTTGTTACCTTATAACACCTTAACGACTTAACCAATCACTATGAAAAGAGTAGCTGAGTACTGTTTAATAAATTGATTGTAGAATAACCCTAAATAATTTCAGTCCTTTAATCGACAGTACGCTGCTAAGACAACTCCAGACATTTACCCTTAAATTGGGTTAGAAGATAAACTGGCGATTGCCAACTAGCGGTTTAAATTAACTATACAACGATAAGGTCAACAGAAAAAGTAGTTATATTTATTTATTTTATTTTAATTAAAATAATTACCTATTTCAAAAAAAGATGAAACACAATTCGGCTGCCTTTTTTATGTTTGTTACCGCGTAATTTTGCTATTATTAATTGATTTCAATGATTTATTTTTACCTGAATACCAGGAGCTGAGAACTAATTAATTGCCAATTAATGCAACCAGTTAGTACAAATCACATGAGGAACCCAATCTTTATCTTGATTTGAGACCGGAAATCCAAAATAATGTAAATAGGCTTCTTGCAATGGTTTTGTTATAGAAAAACCACGATTTAACTGAACAATTTTCCCACAAACGTAATAAAATCGGTTTGGATGTAGTTTACACACTCTAGATGACATTTTTATATAAAAATAAGACTTATGAATCACACAGTTGTTTACAAAATAGAACGACAAAAGTATTTAAACAATTGCGGGTAGATCAAGAACAAAGACCTCTATATATATATTAGATTGTAACGTGCTACGAAAAATAAAAATATATATTTTTTAACTACAGTCCATTGCCTACATAAATAATATATTTTTCGTTTTATGATCAAAAAAAGTTTTTTTTTTTTTGTAAACTAGTGTAATTAGAGAGTGTTCCAGTGATTTTTTACAAATTTCGGTTTACTCACTTGGGACTATGTTTGTGACAAAAATATTCATTTATATTTATTATGTTACAATATTTTTATGTAGACCATACCAGAAGTTAAGGACTGTAAATCTTGGCTCTCAAACGTCTAATCGAGCGTAACACCACCACGGAAATAATGTGGAGATATCGGCCGCTCTGTCCGCGTCTAATATGGTTTCCGCATATATTTAGACTTGGAAATTATTGTTACATTCAATTCTTTATCATATAGGTGAATTATTATTTTTTAAACATAGTTATAAACATATCACGTGTGACAAATCACAAATGTGATTCTCACTAGCAACGACTTAATGTCACACTCGCTGCTATTTGCTATTGATGAAAGTGAATTATATTTTTTATGATTAAAAACGAACGAATAGAGCGTTTGGATCATTCTATTATCACCGTATAAAAAAAATCATGGTTACAATGAACGGCAACAATAAACACTACTAGTGGCAAACCGTCGCAAGATAAATGGGATTTTCAGATCAACACCAACATATAAATGTAAGGGTGAACACAATTATCCCTGAATACGTAAGGGCGTAACCTCGTTGTTACATCTACCATCATATACATACGTGGGGTGGAACTAACGTCGCCGCGACGCCGGAAAGTGCGGTACGTTATATTTATACATATAAATATAACTGTTAATTAATTTATTTATTAATACTTTATTGTAGACACTAATAATATTTTTTTTATACAACTTAGAATGGCAATCTTGCTGACGGTCCACCTGATGGTAAGTGGTAATCGTCGCCTATAGACATGAGCAGTACCGTGGACATAACAGAGTATACTGTTTCGCCCATGATACACCCCATGCGTTGCCATTCCTGAGGGCTCAGGTGTTATTCCTCTGTACCCAGTAAATTCACGCCATATCCCACCCTTCAAACCGAAACACAGCTGCTTCACGGTTGAAACACGAATGGGACAGAGGTGCCCAAGCAATAGACTTTTGTACAAAGTCTCCCTTTGGTAAAATAATATAATATATACAAAAAATATTATATACCTATAAATACATACAGAAACATGAGAATGGAAGGCAAATGTACAAATAACGTTAATAGCTATCGTTGTGTAATAAATAAATATAATGAGATTGGTAGACACATATATTTCAACAATTAATACGAGATATATTTTAGGCCTAATATTAACTAGCTAAATAACAGTCCTTCCCCAATCCATCCATCCCCCCTAAACCCCCCTTGGTTTTGGTAGTAACTGCCATGTTTGGGGGGGAAAGGGATTGTTAGCAATGGAGTTTGACAGCCCCTTTGCTATATGCCTTATTAGGTCGACCTCCACGTGGTTCCCCCTGGAAACCATCGTGAACAATTCTTGTTGAATTCGTCACGATGGGCTAACTGACCTACTTCACCCTCACCTATCATCCTTCACTGGTGCCCCGCCGGTGTATACCGATAGCGCGGGTGGGGCTACCATTCCATTATCATCCATTAAAAAAACTGCCATGTTTAATAAGTTGGCTATTGCAGTTAGATTTTGTTGGTGTTTTAAGAGGAGCTCTGCTGCCCATTTCTCGACCATTAAGTATCATCAGTTTCCTTTTACAACACCCATCGGAAAGAAAGAGGTAGCCCATTTTATGCCACATAGCGACTTATATACTAAATATTAAACAAAGAATAATACGTGACATTCAGATTGTTTGCTATTCTAAATTCCAAAAAAAAAATATAAGAAAAAATAGGGCAACCCAGCATGTGCAATTAATAAACCGTTTAATTAATTAACAAACTATTTAATTATGTTACCTCTTTTAGATATTTTCCTTTTGTTTTTTTTTATCTATATTCATTTTTTTTTGAGTATTCACCAATATCTGTTGTTATTCGTGTGCTGTAAGTAATGCAAATAAATTATATATCTATCTATCTATCTGTTATCTTCAACTACAATAGATATGATACCATAACTTTCCTATAAACTAATATAAAAGTAAGTGTAGAAAATTAAAGGCATACAAATTACCGCAATTTCCCGCGTTAACGCCGCCGTGTCACAGCACTCGTGTATTCCGCCGTAACCCCATCATTACACTTGCCCTAACAAGATATCCCCAACTGTGCCGCAAACGGGCTCAATTAGCCCACCGCACGTTGGCGAGGATTTGTACACTCCTGTGATGTGATTACGGAAAATGTA